GAGATCGCATCACTGCACACCAGCCTGAGCAACAGAGGGAGACTATGTCTCAAAACAAATAATAATAATAATAATAATAGGAGAATGTTTAAATTATGATGCTTCCTTATGATAAACTGTTATATATCCATTGAAATGAAGCTTTTCTGGCCAAACATGCAACTGAATTGGTATTTGGTGATGCAAGTTAGGTTATTAACTGCGGTTCCTTTGCAACTAGAGTTTCTCTTACAGCCAAAGAAGCTGGGGATCTGCTCTGGCCGCCTTCTGTCTCATTTTCCACTGAGAACTAGGAAGCTCCCAGGTGGCTGTTACAGTCTCAGTGTACTTCGTGCCTGTTATTAGGATACACTTAATTAAGAAACGCTCAAACACTAATTCTCACAGCCTCAGTTCATATTGCAACAGCTGTACTAAGACTTGAATCTTCATCAAAATTTATTATTCAGGCATCATTTCCATTGCTCAAGTATCTATTTAATTTGAGGGTTGGAAAGGCACTACTTTGAATGAAAGAAATTTAACTTAGTGAACAGGGAAACAGATGAAGGAAAATGCTTTCTGGCATTGTCTCATATGTAAATTAAATGCCTTTGGACAGTCTTGGGAGCACGGGACCCCTGCGCTACATGGTCCGCGATTCTGTGGGCTAAAATTTCTACCAATATGTCATACAAACCTTCACATTTATTCACCAGCAAGGCTTGGGGAGTGCCATTTTGTAGACAGATGCGCAAGGGAAGCCACAGAAACTTGTTGGATCAACCTTTGGTTCTGTCACTTGATGGCTGCTGTGATTTCATATCCTGTTTGCTCCACAGGCACACAGCCATTGAAAATAGGCATATTTATGGTGGAAGGTATAACTTTCAAGTAGGCAGCTCATCATTTTTTATGGAGAAGTATCAATATTGTGGTTGGACCTCTTATTCACAGCCTCGCTTGATTTTATGCAAAAGCAGGAAGATGTAGTTGCTAATTTTTAAACAACAAATAGGACTTGGATGCCATTTATACTGCCTTCTAATGTATTTTTTGCTCTATCTACTGGGTAAAACTCATGACGAATAGTTCCTGTGTGTTTTTTTGTTTTGTTTTGTTTTGTTTTTTTAATCCTCCCAAATGCTTTTATGTTGTAGATTCACAGTATATATGTAACTAGTGGATAGGTAAATTTGGGGAGGAAATACAGTTGACCCTTGAGCCACCCAAGGGTTGGGATGCCAACCCCTTGTGCAGCTGAAAATCTCCATACAACTTTTTACTCCCCAAAAACTTTACT